TGTGTCTACAGGGTGAAATTATCAGATGAATAAATATTTAATCATTAAGCACCACATCACAACAACAATAATATCTATTCACAGTGAGCCTATGAGTACCAGTTGTGTCTTATCAGCATGACAAGATGGTGAGGCTGAGACTGAAGATCCCAAAGATCCATTAGTGTCCTCTTTTTCATTTTGACACTAACTTCTGGATATCTGCCATCACTTAATATTATATTACAGCATCAACAACCCCCTGTTTATCTTTATTACTGGCCCCTAATCTCTCATGACAGTTAATCATGTTACAAGTTCTTTGGGTCGCTTCAGTTCTCTGCAGCTTTCAGCATTGTCTTTGTTTCTCTTGCGCCGCTATATTCATAACTTCTGATCACTGTGAGGTCCATTATACAGTGTATATCCGTCGCAACTTGTGTCTTAATAAGAGAAGTCACCCGTTCTCCCTCAGTGCTGCTTAGCCGTGCTGTGATTAATGTCTTCATGGTCTGGTCGAAGTGTCGATATCTTCAACAGCTGGGCCCATCTGTCATCTTTTTCCTGTGACACCCCTGAACGTAACTCAGGTCCTATCAGGGAGGCCATCCATCAAAGTGGTAAACAGAGACGTCTCACATTAGCAGCCCTGAACACTTCTCATCGTATACCATAACAGACAAGCAATCATCTGGTATTATGTCGCGCCACAGGCTAATGTGAAATATTAACGGAAATATACAGCACACCAGCTGCCGATTGGATGGGGCATCTGTGCTTAGCGTAATGGGTGGGTAACAATTTAATATTGTGGAGACAGTAGATTGTAAATTTGCTCTACAGATTTGTTCCTAAGCTGTAACACTGGGTCAGGGACCACGTCAATACAGAGCAATTTATATTTTGGGAAATCTTTCCGTCTTTACCCTTTTTTCTTAACCATGCTTTGTGTGTATAAATCAAAGGCACACAGTCCATTTACTCTGAATAGCCTACTCCTGCATATTGATTTGTGTTGTATACTCTGTGTTGTAAAGTCTGAGAAGCAAAGTAGAGAAGAGCATTTCACTTGTAGTTAAACTGGATCTGCTTTATAAGAGACTCATAAAAATGACTGATATCTACAACCACCTTGGAACGTAGAATCTAATGATGCATTCAGATACATTTATTACTTTTGCCTGTCATGCTGTTTCCTCTAGGGGGCAGTAGGATCAGGGACAGCCAGGGTGTCTCTTCATCTGTGCGAATGGTGACGGACTCACCACCATTGCTGCTCAGATAAATGCTTGAGGGTTGAGGCCACGGGCCAGCTTACTAGGGATCAACCTCATCGTTCTCTCCAGCAGCCCCTCATCTCCCCTCGATCTCTCTGCCTTTCTTGCAGTCCTATGCAGCACTCACTCCTGGCGGGGATTATGCTGACACTGTAGTGGGAGGAATATATGCATGTTGGAAATCAAGTTATGGAGCTTTTGTCAGTGCCGTTGTCAAGTGATGGAGATAAATGTGGGTGAAATATGTGTTTTCAATGTTTGGGAAGCTCCACCAAACACTCAGCTCTTTTTAAAACCTACGGCTACATTTCTATTTCTATATTTTCCTCCCTGCTTTCAGCAAGGGAACTTCTTTATATTCACAAATGAAACATAGATAATGGTCTCAGCAGCAGTGGGGATTCTTGAGGATAAACTTGTTAAAGTTAGAGATAAAAACATGGTGATATCGCAGATAAAAAATCAGTCTCTCGGCTCTTGCGGCTGACCATCGTGGTCCGTTATTTGGATTCAACCAACAGCAAGCCACATGGTGTTTGAAAAAGAAAGAACTCTATTAGATAAAGGAGGCCAAATTAAGCACAGGTCCCCTGAAATTGAAGCAAGATAGTGTTTCTTTGACTCTTTGAAACCCAAGCACGATCTGGCACACATTTAGCAGGAGAACGGCTAATTGCATCAGCACCTCTGCATAAAAATTCAGTCAGTTATGAAGACGTAATGGGAAACAGGATTCCTTCGCAATGCTTCATGTAATGCACAACTTTTTTATTTCCTCGCTCTGAGGATTTTTTTTTTTTTCCCCTCATCTGCTGTGGTCAAAGTGGAGATACTTATTGTAACAGTAGGAAACATATCACATGTATTGAGGAATGGAGCAAAGGAGGCCAATAAGTAGGGCAGTTAAATGGAAATAGTTTCATTTCCTTTGGTGTAAACAAATACCCCATGTAGTCCCCGGACCAGAGCTGTGGGTAATCGGCTGCTATAACTCAACAGAACACTTTGCCCTGAGCTAAACATAATACTTCCTGCACTTAACTAAATCCATTTTTCAACCCTCAGAAGAGTTATGACACACCAATACATTATTGCACAAATGTCTGACAAAGTTAAACCTGTGCAAAACATGCAGCACAACAGTGTTTGTTCAAAGATCTGTTTTTTTTTTTGTTTGTTTGTTTGTTTTAAAGAGCGACTTCAGAGCATCAACACTATTTAGTAAAAAAGCCTTCTACTGACTTACCCTGTGTTCTTCTTCATTAATTCTTCAGTGGACTGAAAATAATTGTATCAAAATTTAAAAAGGGCCATCTTGTTCCAATTCCTGTTCTCTTTCATTTCGATTTTCCTCATTTTCAATTATCCATGTGACTTGCACATATCAGGGGGTTAGTCAATAGGCCATTTCCCATCTGTATGGATTCTTTGGTCACTGCTTAGGCTTTGCTTTTCAAACACTGCGAAAACTCAGATAATTAATCACTGCTTGCAGCTACAGGTCCGCACAGAATCGTATAGATTCACAGAAACATGATGTGCAGTTATTAGGTGAGCAATAGGGTTTGAGCACAAAGTCAAAGAAATCCCTCTCAAGGACAAACCTATCCAAAATGTGAGATTAGGCACCTGTGTGAGACCTTCATCTCGCAAGCAGGTGTTTTATTTTTTTTCTGTCCAAGTTCCTAAGTTCACTCTTTTGTAATTAGCACCTCGCGTCTCTGAAATGGGTTATAGTTGACTGCTAAGGAGAGGATGAAGCCTGCGCTACGGTAATAGCATGAATACTTCTTTTCACCCCATCACAGGAAGACGCGGGAGGTCTTTTTCACTTCTGCAGGTGGTGTGAATGCTATTGCCACACCTTCTGGAGCAGCATGCCTGTAACCAAAGCCAAGGTACTCCTATGATACCTCATACTGGTTAGGTTGTTTGTACAACCTAGCATAAACACATTGGCCATTTGTTTCACTCAAGTTGTAATGGTGCTTGACTAGCTCCTAGTGCCTGCATGTTTCAGTCTATATCTCAGCAGTAAAGCAGGAGACAGGTCGGTCTAAGGTCCTGCTGCGAGGCGTTGGTAGATAAAGCACACTGCAGGTAAAAACATGCATGGCCACTCACCATTAGATCACTCCCCATGCTGTCCCTGAGATGGCGCTCTTAATTAGAAGGTCCTTGGATCTTGCTGTCTAAACTCAGGTTTTACTGCCCACATTACCACTTTGTATAATACAGTTCCTCGCAAGCTACGGTAAAACATTACAGTGGCATACAGTATATTATGAATACATGCTGTAATTGACACTATTTTGGAGTTGCTTTATGGCTTCATGTTGAACTTCTGCTTCCTCCCGAGCACCGTCTGCGTTGTCTTTGGCGATTAGCCTGTTTCTCACCTGCACTTCCTCCCCAGACAATGGCCTGTTCTGCTCGTGCAGATGATGAGGTGCAGTATCAAAGCCAAATGAGATGGCTGCCAATTAGGGAGGGCTTCCAGGTGCATTTCAATGCAAACTCGCACCAGTAACTGCACCCTGTAGTGTCTCCATTCAAAGGCACTTTATAACGGGCAGACTTGAACAGAAACTTATGAAAGTATTTCAATTACCAGAATAAATGACAGACCTCTTTTCAATTCTTGGCACAGGAGGGTTTTGATCTTTGTAATGATGTCTTACTAAATGTTTTAAGCAGGATGTTAAATTGACTTGCCGCTGGTACAGTTTGTGTAACCTCTTTTTTTCCCCTTTAATGCTAGTTAACTTGGAAAAAAATCTAATAATCCATTTGGCTGTGTTCTGGATAGACTCCAGTTCAAATGCTTGGAAACGGTGTGAGACCACACAGTTATTTGGACAGCCCCCACACTCCCCAGGGGATACAATAGACTTTTATATTGTCTCTTCAAGAGCTTTAGTATAAAAGCCTCAGACAAATGAAATCACTTTTTACCAAAAGTACAGGTTGTCTGCAACATAGTTTAATTAAATATCTATTGATTTGGAAATGATGGCCTTAAACTGTGTTAGGTCTTTGTTGACAATTGTAAGCTTCCTGTTCAGTGTGACACGTAAAATTAATTGGTGTTAATTTTGTGTCGAAATGAAAGGAGCAACCAGTAAATGCTGCCCAAAAGGAAAAAAAGATCAGTGCAGACTCACTGTAATCATATGCAAGACATTAGCATTTTAAGCATTAGTGATGAACCAGGAACTTCCCTCTTAAACACCTTTTGCCCAAAACAGGTTAGGTCATGACAGAAAAAGGCTTTCCTGTGTTCCTGTGGGTGTGTTTCCCGAATCTGCAAATGCACAGTCTTGCACCAAAGTGGCCTTTGAATCACAATTTTTAGTTATTATTCAAATTAAATCAAGTCAGGGCAGAAGGGAAGAGCAGTCAGAAGAAGCTCGCTGCTGTAAATCTTGAAGCTCTACCTCTGTGATTGCTCAGGCCACCGTGGAATAAAGATTAGAAGAAAATCACTAATCACAGCGGATGTCATTAGCATATTACCAATAACGGGATGCAAAAGGGAAAAGAGGAATTGCCTTATAATGCTGGTTAAAGTACGAATCAATGCCATGTATGGATGCACACAGCTGCTTCACAAACAGATATATTCACTTCCAAACATGGGTAAAGGAAGTGTCTAATAATGATGTTTTTTTCAATGTTTTTGTCTGAGTCACTCGCTGAAGCACTTGATGCTAATATCACATTCCCCCTCTCTCTTTTGATCAGCTTTTGCAGCTGGGCTGCCCTGCCTCACTTGGATGCATCAACAAAGCTTGAAGTGGCCACTCTAATCTGGTTAAGTATTGCCTGGTTGGGGAGAAATTAGCCGAATTCTTTTAACTTTTCAAACAAACATAATACAGTCAAACTTGCTGGATGAGAATCAATTACATGAACTGAAAATAGGTTCGGGGGGGATATCATTTCATTTCTGGAAATCATCTAATACATCTATTCAATGGCATATGCCTGTAGTGTCACATCGAAGCCATATTTCAGTCCAGTGAGATGAATGAAGAAGAGTATCTGTTGAAACACTGCCGGAATACGTTTCACAAATCTTTTTCACCCAGTGGCGATATTGCTATTATCAGCATTACTTCAAAAATAGTTATTCCCTGCCTAAATCCATAAGATATTGTAGGAATAATGGGATAATTTTAGGGTAATTGCGTAGTTTCTCACTATGATTGATTGGATTGGTGGTTGCAAACTATTGTCCTAGTTGTATTGGTGTATTAAATAAAATAGTCTCTGTTTCTTCAGTTTATTCAAGATTTTCTTTTAAGGCTGAGAAATACATTTTCCTGAAATACAAATTGCTTTTAAGCAAATAATACAAACAACACAATGGGTTTCTGTTTTGTTTAGTGATACAAAAGAATGTACATTTTATTTATAACAATCTCTGACAAAGCCATGCTGCTTGTGAATCAATTATCATTAGTATTCTCATAAATAAGTCACCTTTTCACTCAAGATTCATGTATGTTTTTGTATCTAAAGCTGAGAATATCCATCTATGTACCTGTCAAACAATAGTTTGTGCAGATAAATTACCTCAGAGTTGGTATGTAGCTTGTTGATACGATACTACTTTCTCAACATCGTCTCTTTTAGGGAGATAAGATTGTGAAAAAAAAAGTTGACTTCTTTTATTATCATCTTGCCTAACAGATGGTTTGGAGGGGAAAAAAGAATACGATCACAATACCAACATTTTTGTTGTATTGAACATTTTCTCCCATTGGATCTTTAGGGCAGATTGTCTCCATTTTTCAATGTGTCTCAACCCTTTGTTTGAGAGAGATCTGTTAAATCTGTCTTGCTGCTAATAAACTGCCATTATTCCCTCCAACAAGGCTGCACTCATTAATAATGCTTCTGTCAGATGCTCATTCTCTTCTGTGAAAATAGAAAATATCATTAATTACAGTTTCTGTCACCCTCTGACAGCTCCAACAATTGTTCCAGTCCCTGAGTTCTGTTTCATTGTGTCCATACCTAGTGACCACCTATTCTTTACTGTCTCAATGGGGATGTCCAGCATGTGAGAGCCACAAAGGCCCTGGGAGATCTCACCACACATTGCAAAGCTTCTGTCCCAGCAACACATTAGTCATCCAGGGAGCGATTGAGTTTGGTGGTAAACTCAAAATGTAGATCTATCTCACTCTCTCAAGCAGAGATTAGGGGAGAGTATCAGTCAAGATCGAGTCGGTTTGCTTTTCATTGTGGATTTGTAGCATTTTTGCTACTCAGAGAAATATCCTCCTCGGAGAAACAGAGGGATTTTCTTATTCAATTCATCAACGGGGGGAAAGAACAGAAAAGAGACTAGACTTAAGATTGCAGCTGCTAAATGTAGAATACATTCTTGTATGAATACACGAGGATCTTATTGCATGTGGAATGCTTACAAATAGAAGAATGGGCAATATGAATAAAATGAAACAGTTGCAGGACAAGAGCCTAACTCTCCAAATATATACAAGCAGTGTGTTAACACACAGAGAGTTGCTCGGATTGTTTAGTTCTACATTATGTAAACTACAGAGAAGCTCACAATTGCACACCAACTGTTCCCCAGAGCGATGCCATGTCAGACAAATATGTGCCTGACTTTGTGGAGTCGCTTTTATTCATGCTAGTTGAACTTAATACTGCCACTACCATGAACCAGAAATGTTTTAGTCTATTAAGTGCCATCAATCTGCCATCAAGTTATTGTATAGGCACCGTGTAACGTAAGATGCACCAGCCTGCATGCAGAGCTCATTGTAGTCTGTTTATGTATGTTTTTCGATTGGCTGCAGGGGGCTAAATAAGCACAAACACAACTGTTTCTGCTGCACAAATTGGCATGTGTTGCAAAATGAGTTTGGGAATACATGCATTTGTGTCAGTGAGTTTATGTACATGAGCTTTCTGTGGACTTTGGACAGTAAAATCAAACTTGTATGACATTCACAGCCTACACATTGAAGTGAATTAAATCTAAATTAAATAGTGAAGGAAAAATACAAATATTGATTGAAGATTTCACAACATGTATAAGAAATGTATGAATCAAAATATATAAATAAGTAAATAAATAGATTTTATACACGTGTGTATGTATATGTAGTGTAAGTCAATACAATATAAATGACATAGTTAGTGATAATAATTCAGACTTTCTGCATACATGTCCAAAACCAAATTCATCAGAGCAAAGGGCAAATGCTTAAATAGAAATCACACTGTAATTAGATGGACATTCCCTATCTGCATTATTTGGGGGGTATATAACATTTTTCCTGCTACTTTCTGAAGGTTTGCATTCAGCATGTCTCTGCCAATAAAATTCAGACCTATACATTTTTTAAAGTTGGATAAGAATGTATTCATTTAATAAGTAAGTGTAGTTCTCCTCAAAGCACGACTCATACAGCTCAGACGCACAAGAAACGTACAAATCTGATGCAAATATAATGGCGTGATAGATATCGATTTATTTTTATCTAATATTCTCTTTTGAGGTGTCTGGCTTTGAACATTTGTAACACATGTTGCGGTGTGTTTTAATGCAGCGCTCTCATGTTTGCACAACATCTGTTCTGCGGAGGTAAAATTGTATTGGATTTAATTTTATATTAGAACATAAAGGCCGTGTGAATGACGTGATAATAAACAACACAGGGCTCAAATCAACCTCAGTCACTCAAAAAAAAAAAGCAGCCGTTCATCAAAGGCTTTCCAGGGGAACATCTAAATGTGAGAGTCCAAAGAATTCATTTTATATTCCGCGGACATGATAAACCTTATTAATGGATAAGCTGTCGAGAAGCCATACTGTTTCTTAAGTTATTGCTGAAATATTCTTGCACATATTCTGTCAAACACAGGATTATATGACACAATAACGCTGACTTTGGTTAAAGTTTCCCATGATAGATAAGCTTTGAAGGATATGATACCAGACCCCATACATGGATGTAATTAAACAAGGGCAAGTGATAGCAATGTATCATCCACTAGAGCTGAGGTCCTGGCTTCCTACGATCCAGTGTTACCAGAGACAAATGACTTGCAGCAGTCGCCAGCGTCGCTTTTAACTTTGCATGGTGCAGACACAGAGAGGGAGTGTCTCCCTAACAGTGGTGGCCCAGCCAAGACAAATGGACAGTCATAATCCCCCACTGGTGGGGAATGTGGTTTATTAGAATACGATACAGTGGATGTGAAGTATTTTTCTTCCAGCGCGATTCAGTTTCCAGCTCGTTCCTCACCACACACAAGTCATACTTGACAGTTTCCACTTTTTTGGAGCAGCTTAGCCATCTTGGAGCTACTGCCTTCAAAGTTAGATAAGTTGTCTGTCAAGGAGGAGAGTCTGAAATTTATTATTACTGCCTGTTCGGTCCCCTGCTAGAGAATCTGAAGTGTGCAGATGTAAGTAGGGCACAACATTCTGTGTAATTAAGTTGGACAAAATGCACAGTGAGTTTAACTAAAGAGAAATATGCATTCCTAAGTGTCCTAAATTTAGAGACTCATTCTGGTATCTATTGGCAAACAGTGTTTATCTATTCAGTTACAGGATGCTCTGTTTGGGCCACGCGCACAGGAACTGCTGACGCGGAAGGATTTAGCTATTATTGCATATCATTACATGAATAAAATATGTGTATGATTACATGCAAAAGTTTGTTCAACGATTCTCCAATTTAGATTTGTTGGGTTAGAGGGGGGGAAGGTGGAGAGGGGTGGGTTTTGTCAATACCTTGAGAAGTAATAGGTCTATGACCTGTGTTAATAATGAATAGAGAAATTACAAAAAGTAGTTTTGTAATTTTTCAATAGAGAAAGGTGTTGCATGGATCAGAACTTTTCTCTAAGTAGTCTTTTAACCTATGCTTGCATGCAAATATCAAAGAAAAAATAATTCATACCTGCTACACATGAGGACCTTGATGACTTCCATAGTGTTTCCATCCTCCTCTGCTCCTCCAGCCTGCATCCTGTATATTGGCATTCACGTCACCCCGACTCTTGGGGCTCTAAAACACGTTTGCTTTTATCTCATACACTTCGGTCATTTCCTTGAACACAGTAAGGACCTGCGGTGCTAAGAAAATCATTTATGGCTTCTTATGTCCGGTCCAGTCCTCCAGGGGTCCTGCAGTGTCAGGGGAATGTAGATGAGCCCACCTCAGACCTTTTTTCGCCGTTTTTTGATAGACCTGCAGATGGTTTGTTGCACACGCAGACCCCTGACGGGACCTTTTATCCTTGTTCTAAAAATGGCCATCTGAGCTCCTGATCTTAGGTGGTTCAGGACAGGGTGAGCCCTCATTTCAGTCCACCATTTGTCAGCAATTCCACTTGCATTTCACATTAAGATATATTTGCTTAGATTGAAAGACATTACTCTGCTTTTTTAATACCTTCGTGTCACAGAATCTGTATTTAGTTGAAAGTTTTGTGCTAGGAATTCACACACAAAAGATTAATGTTGTAATTACTTGAGCATAATTACCGGGGAAACAGTTAATCAGCATAAATTAACAAACCAAATAGTTTGAAACATGTACTTGAGGAAATAAACATATTATCAATTATAATGAAAAACAAAATCCAGGGTGCTCAAACATCGCTTAAAAAAGCCTTTATTCCACATTTTTCTTGAAACTTATCAACAGGCAGTTTGTATTAAACTTTTTATGAATAGTCTGTCCAATAACAATCCGACAGATTTTTTTTTTTCTTTCTCAGGATTACTTGAATGCATTTTTTGGATTACTTTTACTGAGCCCTTGTGTCCTACAAGCACATGTATAGCATTTATAGCTTCACTGCATCCCCACATCTG